AGAATGATTTCTGAAGGTTCATGTGACACTGAAGACTGGAGGAATAGCTGCTGAAAATTCACAGGAATAAATTACATTTATATATATATGATCTATTTCGGTTCACTAGAACAGTGTGACTTTTGTACTACATTACCATGGCACTAGTTTCCCATTGACCTCATTTAAAGTGTGCCATGGGGCGCCATCTGCCTGACTGGTAGCGCAGTGTAATGTAGTTCTGAGTCCAACATCACCAATTTGAGCTAACTTATACACTTTTTTAAAAAACTACAGTACAGTACTGTTTACAGTAAATTATAATGTACAGTAGGCTATACAATGCATATGACCTTTTTCCATTTAATTCAACATCAATAACATTTTCTACAATAATAGACCTTTATAATTATCACATTTTTTGTCCACTAAAAACTAATTTGCAAAAATCAAAGAAATGCATAATGATCATTAATATGTCAATAACATGGAATAATAGATGAGCAAAACTCATAAGGTTTCTTTTTTTGCTCTCTGTGTGGTAGCTATGACCTGGGAATGGAGAACCGTGATGCCACAGATGACAAGGTGACTATTGAGGCAGCGGAGGCTGTGAGGCACTACAATGTTGGCATCAAGTGTGCCACCATCACTCCTGACGAGAAGCGCGTGGAGGAGTTCAAGCTCAAGAAGATGTGGCGCTCTCCTAACGGAACAATCCGGAACATCCTGGGTGGCACTGTGTTCCGAGAGGCTATTATCTGCAAAAACATTCCCCGCTTGGTTCCAGGCTGGATCAAGCCTATAATTATCGGCAGGCATGCACATGGAGACCAGGTAGGGAGCTCTTACACATGCATGTGTTAGAATATCTGTAATTAAGCCTAATTGTGAATCTGTTCTGGATTTTTTTGGTGGATCTTTTTGGTGTTTTATCAAAGTTCATATCATACCTAAGCAACCATCATTTAATATTGGTGAAATCACGTTACAGGTAAAATGTCTCCTGTGATAATCTGTCCTTTTCAATATTAACAGTACAAGGCTACAGATTTCGTTGTTCCCGGTCCTGGAAAGGTGGAAATGACATACACGCCTAAAAATGGAGGAGAGCCGCTCAAGTTTGTTGTCCATGACTTTGAAGGTAACCTACAATTTTAGGCAAGTCGTGATGATTTGAGAAGGCTGAATTGATCAAA